ATTTGGAATCCAAGGAGGATGACTGTAAATGGTTGGAAATGGCAGAACAAAATGTTGCTGAACACTTGGATGCCGAGTCTTCAAGAGGGGTGGAGAATAGTCCTTTAGAAGGGCTAAAAGTGAAATATGTGGATGAAGAAATTGCCTGGCTAACAGATGATGAAGATATCAGTCTGAGTGAGATAGAAGGCAGCAAATCCGATGCAGAAATTGACCACTCACTTCCTAATTGTTTCCCCATGAAATCGATCCTGAAAGTGACTATGGATCAATGTCAGACCTTGAGTTCACTGCTGAAACCAGAAATACTAGTAAGGAAGGAAATCTCTCCACTTATATGCATGTCACATACCTCATAGTTCATCATTTCCAGCACTTGGTCACAATCCCAGGTCCCTTGCAAACCATGATTATATAATGACTTGTTGGAAGGTTAGGGTGGTTCTGTTTTGCTACCAGGCCAAGAACAATGATGGACTGGTCATGGCACTTGTGAGATGGCTGCCTTTTCCCTCTATCCCACCTCCCAATGCTGGTCTTGTATAGCCAGAAACAACAGTGAACTGTGTGCATTCTCAACATAATTGCATGCACATCATTGCACTATTTTTGTTCTCCTCCTCATTGTCAGGATCCACTACTACCGTTGGAATCAATGGACAAGAATAATACTCCTCTGAGGCAAAAAAAATAGGTTATCTGAAGTGATGTGACAATATTCACAGAGTCATACTTTTATGAACCTTTCTTTCTTTGCAAAAAGTCTCTCATCACCATTGCTCACTATCTTGGATAGCAGTCCAAAGATGGAGGCACACAAAGAATTGGATGTTGGAATGGCCATAGTTATACATAGTAACAAGATGGTGGTTGGAGATCAATGTTAGGAGATGCATGAGCAACAGCTGGTGTCGGAATTTTAAATACAACTTGAACTACCACCATCCTCACCAATTAAGCCCTTTCTGCTCTTACTCTCCAAGCAATGTCCAAACCCAGCATCTCGATATCCCCTGAAAGCGAGATGATAGGCCTCCAACTCCTCAAAGTCAAAGATCTCAAGCATCACATAGAACTCTGCATGTCCTATGAATTTGTTATGAGCAATCAAACCACCAAAGACAAAATAGCAAAGGCCAAAACCTATTCGGTGAAGCAATCTCTTCTTCATGAAATGTTGGCAGGACTTAAGGGCATCAAGGTAAAAATAGATGAAACGTTTGGTGAAGACTGGTACATTCCACAGATTGTTTCATCCATGCCCTAGCATATTGTTTTCTTCTAGATGCATACAAGCTCATGGTTACAGAAGAGAAAATGGTTGCTTATTGGTGACTATGATTCTTTGCTGAATCTCCTTGATGTGCCAACTTTTTTATTGAACCAGGCTGATAAATGTAATGATCTTTCACTTGCTCACCTTCAATTTTTCTGGCTCGGGATCCTCTCTTCGATCCTCCTCTGGTTTCTATTTTGGGTCAAAGCTTGAAGCTTGACTTCTGGTACATCTCAACAGAATCTTGCCGATGCATTGGCTCACCATATTGAACTGATAGATCACCCCACCCATACACTAGGATATAATATGAATAATGCATTGATTCAACTGTTTGCACCAGGTCTAGGATGTACAAGAAGTATACTGCGATGTAAATTAGTAGCTTTGGAGATGGTTATCACTTGTGGATGCACTGAAAGTCTTGATAGATGTGTGCTCTTCTTTTGGGAAATGGATGTAGAAACTGTCTGATTTTAGATGTTGGTAGTCAATAGTGACATTGGTGAGGAGGAAGTGACAACACACATAATTGGGTGGTTAACATTCCCAATAAAGCCCAATTGAAAAGGCTGCCAAAGAACTTGGAACAGAATCAGAGTCACATGGGGAAAATGTAGTCATAGACTCATGACTGGTCTAATACTTCAATGTTTTAGATGAAGAAGAGAGTGAATGATAAGTAACATACTACAGAAGTTGGATTGTCAGAAAGGATGGAACAGAGGTCATGGTCAGTCGATATAATGCTAGAAAAAGAAATCCAGAAATTGATTTTATATGGTGAAGGTCAGCAGCATTCAAGTGGGTGCAGGAACTGCTGAGGGGTTCTGTATCCTGCACCAACTTGAATACATTCACAGAATTACACTCTTGATGCTGATCCTCATCTTCTTCTTTAGACACTTCCTCTTTTCTGCATTTGAAAGGTCTAATGCATTCAGAGGAAGAGGACACAGAGGATGTAGTGAGTGCAAGAATGCAGGAATTCAATCTCTCTGAAGCAAACTGTGGTAAATCGCAGTAACTTTCTGGCAACTCTTGACCAAAGTCTCCTGGCCAGCTCTCTTCATAGAACTTGAGTGGCACCAGAGCATATGCTCCATGAAATAATCATAGGAGTTTTAATGCTACAGTTAAACAGATGGGTGCTTCTATTTCATAGCCACTGTAGCGAGCAGCAAGTGCTGCCATGAAGAATGGGTTGGCTCTTGATATCACCATGAGATCATTGAATGGGTCAGTGAAGGAGACACTTTCACCAGAGGCAGATTTGCTGAATATTGGGCCACTCAGACAAAGAGGTATTATGGTGTATTCATATTCATTTGCAAGAGGGCACACCTGGTATGAAAATTAGACACTCACATAGAAAAAGACATTAAAGTCCACCTTATAGAAAGACATGCTGTTAGGAGCATTCCTCTTGAGGTTGCAATTGTAGCAGTCGATGGTACAGTCAAGGGTTTCTCCCATTGGAGCCAAGAGCCAATGAGACTCTTTGAACGAATTGAGCAAAGAAGAATCCATTATAAAACATTTAGTAGCAATTAGAATGGCTGCCAGAGGGACACACACTGCAAAGTGTTATTGTCCATCCCAAAATACATGTTGATATCACTGTGCTGAAGACCCCCAGGCATATTCCAGCCCATCAAGCTAGAAAGAGTCCTTAGTAAAGGCTACCACTATAACCAAAGAGGGCTTCACTTCTCAAGCAAATGATGTGGACTGTATAAGCAGTTGAGACACCAGAAGATATGGCGATGAGGCAGTGGATTTGAGGAATTCGAGAGGAAGGCATTCTGGCATAGTGTTATACAAGGGAAAAGAGGTGAGAGATCATTGGGTGGATGGTGTAGATTGACAGGATTCAAATTCAGGGACATAATGGTGACAGTTAATGGTGCCAGTCATGAGGAGACTATGATCATGTGATCCTGGCACAATATCTGGTCTGTTAAGCCAGCCACCAGATTCACACTCTCGAATATCACTGGAGATTTGAGGCAAATACTTTCAACTTGCACACTCACTGTAATCTCTTAGAATGTAAGGCTGTGCTTTTATCACAGCAATTGACTGACAGCATCTACTCCTAGTGTGTCTGGAATACCACAACATATTAGACAGAAATTATTCCATGTTTGTACCACTATGAGAGGACATCAAGACTATGCATGACTTTACACTCTTACCCAATGATGGTAAATGCAAGAAGCCAGCCAAAATGGTGAGGTCCAATTTCCACTGAGAGATTGACTCTGAATGACATATCATTTAGTATTTTGATTATAAAGAAAAGCCCATCCAAGTTTGATTCTTCTCCCTTGAACTGCAAAAAGTGTATATTGTCTCTTGTTGAACTCTACAGCAATCTGAGGAAGGATACAAGCAGATGCAGGAGCAAACTGACTTTTTCTATTCTTTTGATCAACCAGAATTGCACAACCAGTTGCAGAGCCATGTCAGCCCCTTTTGTCTGGGGTCAAATGCAAGGAAAAAGTTGGAAAAATATGATGATAATGCCCTTGATTTATTATTGACATCGGCTCAAGACCAGTTTGATTTCCAGTGGCTTGTGGGTTTGTATAACATGTGGAGAGATGCTTCTACAGTACCTGTTGATTTCCTGAACATGACACATTCGACTTTTCTTTCAACTCCCTTCAGAATAAGCAGATGACAACTGGGAGCTGCAAATGAAGCTCATCACAAAATGACAAAGGACTTTGTGACAAGGTACAGGTTCTGCTGTCAGTGGTCTGCCCACAACTGCTGATGATGCACAAGAAGTAAGAAAATGGCTTCCTCCATCAATGGTCTAAGTCTTGGCCAAACTGGATGCTGAAGTTGATACTAGAAGGATCATTGGACTTGACTCTCTGCATACCAAATTTGTGTTATTTGTCTCAGAATATAATCACAAATTGCCATTCTGGGACTGAGTAGGAGGAGTTTGATGAAGAAGGCCTCATTGTATATCATGATGATGCATATAGATGGGAACTGTAGGCCAAGCTTGTTAATGAGACATCTAAAATTACTTTGACAGAGCTAGGTATCAAGAACTCTTGAGGTCTAAGTGGTGGGAATATGTTGAATTCCATCACTGCTCTCCAATTGAGCTTTGTTCTGCTGAAGAAGCTCTCATGCAAGTTTGACTGTTACTCTCTTCATGACACCATCCATCTGCAAAGCCAGGATAGGGAGTTTTGTGATCCAAGGGAAAGCATGTATCATGATGCTTGACCATCAGATGTGAGGTTCAAAATAATGATGTGAGCACCAGAAACTGACATGCAAGCAGATATGAAAGGAGCAATATCCATGGTGGTCTTGGTTCCTTGCCACTTGACATGATTTGCGACCCACCCTACAAACTATTTGTAGAAAACAGTCAGCATGGATGGAATATGGTTGATATAGGATATACTGATCTATGAGCAAAACAACTTAACTTCATGGTGAAACACAAACATATAGTGAAATGCAAGATTATCTGTAGTGATAATCTGACAATGTTGAGAATACATCTAGAGCCAATAGTAGGTGTTGAGCCTCACTATGTTGCATTGAAGAAAAAGACCTTGATCCTTTGTGGTCAACTGCTGGGTCATCATGAGGAAGGCTGACCAGGGTTGTCACCAGGTTTGTGCACCAAGTCTCATCTTTGAAGTCCAGGCTATGACATGGCATCATCTTGACTTGTGCACTGACATCCAAACAAAAAATCATGAGCCTTTGCAAAATTTGGCTGATTTTGTCCAGGTGAAATACAACATAAGACTTTTTTCCTCATAGATTTTGTCTGGATGGAAACATGGCTTCTCTACCTATTTTGCAAGGTCCTCTTTCATGCCATCATAGGCTGACTGGGGAGTAGCAGGTGACAGTCAAGAGAAGGGTAGTGGAGGAAGATTATGATGCATTAGTTGTCAACTGCAGAAACCTGGAGTTGGATATATGCAGTCTGAGGTGTGGGAAGAAAACAATGATAGGCTTGATGGCTCCCACCAAGATCAAACCAACATTGTGCCCCTAAGCAATTAGGACTAATCAATTCTTTTCTTGTGAAAAGAACCAATGCTGGTATAATTTGGAGTAGGTCCCAACATTGTAAATGCCTCACCTTTATGGCAACCCAGAATAGAGAAGGTCAATATAGCTGGTGAGGCACTTGATGCCTACCTTTTCCTTGACAATTCTCTTTCCACCTCCTCTGACTGGTGGCATCAAGGCAGGGAGAAGAGAAGAGGATTGATTGTTAAAAGGTGTTCAGTACTGCATATATGCCCCATTATGAGGCCATGATACTGGTCATGATCAAAGATCAAGCTGGCAATAGGTAGCATCATTGCCAATTCCCTTAGACTTTGGCTAGAGCTTCAATGCAGGGAAGCTTGATGTAGACAGTCTGATAGGGAATGTTTTTGAGGTTTAAGGTGCATCTGCAGTATAGACTGGTTAGGTTCATACCACTCTTTAAAAATATATGCATATCTGGCCTACCAGGTTATCATAGTCCCTGAGGAATCAGCTGCCTTGGTTGTAAGGTCATACAGAATAATCAGTTTACCACAGCCACAAGGAATGGCATTCAGCTTGGGTTATATATATACAACATTTCAGGAAAGGCTTACAAAGTAGCTAGCATGAATCATCCAGTAACTGCAGTCTTTGTCATTTCCACAAAGTTAATGTGACTGTATGCTCTGTGGCCTGCTCATATTGATATCCACATCCATGTTGTGGGATTTTGTTGTCCAGATGATACACATCATGATATGTCTGACTACTCTTCCACTTTACTAGGGTGATCATATGAAACAAATCACATAAATGCAAAATGAAAAGTATACTTACGAGACACTCCATATAGCAGACATATTATCTAGGTTGACAGATGAAAAATTCTAAGGACTTCTCTTCATAGAGAAGCCTATGACCTAGTCGGCCAGCAGTCAAGAAAAGAAAAGGGATTGAGGAAATGGCTCCTGAATTTTCGAAATCAAAAACAAACGCATCTCATGATGGTCCAGATCTGCAGCCAGTGAAGATTTGAACTCAGAGAAAAAATGCAAACAATGCATGGCTCACTATTTTGGTGATAGCTTCGATGTAGATTTAGGAAGAATCTGCAACACAAATAATCAGTTGCGAGATGAGCCTGTGATGGAACATGGGAGTATCTCATCCACACCATTCCAGGCAAGTATGCTGCTTTGGATGAGTCACTGGTACAGACTTTGCCATGATGAGAGTGACCAGCATTCAGTCTATAATATAGAGGATGAAATTTCAGGCAGAGGTTTCTTAAAATGATGGCCTTAATGTTGATAGTATGTATGCAGAACTTTAGCGACTGGGGCTTGTATCCACAGGAAGGGCATATTGCAAGGCAGCGAAATAGTTATCAAGACAAAGTTGTACACTGTGGTCTCAGCCTGCTGTCTTCTTTGCTTTTCAATGGTTCTCATCTCCACTGAACTGGCAGCAGTAACACAACAAAAAGTGTGCTCTTAAAGACCATCATACCTGGTCTTGACATGAGATTGGTCATATGCAAGAGAAAATCCATACCTAAGAATGATGACTTCAGAACTATCGGTTGTTACTAGCTGACAAAGATATGGCCTGTAAGGTTGTAGCACACCATTTCCATCAAACAGTATTGCACAGAAGGTAATTGACCCCTTTCAACAATAGTGTAATCTCTTCATGGAGAAAATGTTGCTTTACAGCTGTCTTTGAAAGGAATCAGCAAGAAAACTGAGTGATTATTTGAGGACATTTCCTATAAGAGTTTCTCATATGGCTTGAAACTCTCCAAGTACCTCCTCCACCTGCCAGCATTCCAACTAACGACATCTTTCCACTTCTCACTCTCCTCCCCAACCACCCCCCTTGTGAACCACAAAAATGCACAGATTGCCATGTCTATGAAATATGGTTCATTCCCTATAACGAAATTCCCATCACTTCCTTCAAACCATTTGTTCATCTTCCCAAGATTCTCCTTCACTTGTATTAACAGCTTCTCTCACTCTTCCCTTTTTGGCATCTCAATATTGACAGCCCCACTGAACCCCTTCAAGAAATACACTGCTGTCACCTCATTCATCTTTGTCATTAACCCCAGAGCATAGAATGGCCAGAGGGGAGTGAATGCATCGACAACTGCACTGGAGAAAGCGAGTTGCAGAGTCATCATCCCAGTGGGGATGAGAATGGGCCCAGAGGAGGGGTAGGTCTTGTCGAGATAAGCCACTATAGTGGGAGAGTCAGAGATGATGGTTCCAGTAGAGTCATCTTGGATGATGGGGATCATGTAGAAGAGAGATACACCATCTGGCTCCGTCATGGTGGGAGCAGCACCAATCTTTTTAGCTAGAGCCTCGACGTCAGGGAGCTTGATGTAGACAGTGTGGTAGGACAGACTTTTGAGATTTAGAGCATACCTGTAATATTGCCTGGTTAGCTTTGATGTGTGCCTTGAAGATATACACATACCTGGTCTGCCAGGTCATCATAGTTCCTGGTGAATTGGCTGCTTTGGTTGGAAGATCATAAAGAGTAATCATGCTAAGAGTTTATCACAACTGTAAGGAATGTCATTCAGCTCAGGTTATATACATGCATCACTTCATACAAGGCTTACTAAGTAGCTGGTATGAATCATCCAGAGGCTAAGTCTCTTTTGTCATTTCCACAATGTTAATGCTGATGTATGCTTTGTGGCTGCTTGAGTGGCCACATCTCGAGTGGCTCTATGCTATTGAAGACAGTGGATGAGAAAACTGTGGGATTTTATTGTCCAGATGATACACATCACAATATGGCTGTACTCTTCCAGTTTAAATAGACATAGGATGAAGCCAAAGTTATGATATCAGACAGATGTTGCTTTCCATCAGAGACCAACAGTATTGAGGAGCTCATGTCATAGCTGGTGGTATTTCAGTGCCATCCCTCAAGTTAGAATGATTTACTTGCCACTGTGTCAGCGTAGCACCTGTATTATCTGTGATATTCGATACTCTTTGTAGAAGGAAAGGCAACACACTTAAATAGCTTTGCATCTTCCAAGTGCTTAGAGGAACCTACAACTGTCTGCTAGTGGTCAAGAAAAGGAAAGATGGGGCATGATCAATCTGGCCAGTTGAAGACTAAGGCAATTGCATCTCATATTGATCACATGCTGGTCCTGTGAAGATCTGAGAGTGAGAGATGAAGGGAAGAAGACATGTAATGCATGCATCTGCAAGGCTTTCCCAACCAACATCCTTGTCTCCCTACCATGCTTCAGCTCAGTGCAATGGTCATTGACATTGACCTTTTTTCTGATACTTGAAGTCACCAATGACTATGTGTATTTGTAATCTGCTTTGGCTCTGGGCTATGCCACATCCCTGCTTGATGTTACAGAGTGTGCTATGCCCTGTGTATAATAATGACTTTCTCTAACACAGAAGAAAAATAACACTCTTTATCTGAATACAAATGTGCCATAATCCAATGCTATGACTGCCCAGCTCCAACAATATCCTCAGTGACATTCATAATGGAGATGAGTGCTGAATGCTGTGGTGTTGGTGTTGGTGTGATTTGGTGCTGGTGGTGGTGAAAAGTTTAAGTGCAGGGCTGTGTACATCTGGTTAATGTCAGATATCAGTCTGCCTTTACCGGCTACATCTGAACCATGCTGAAGCTTAGCATGTGATCTCAGCATCAAACCAGTTCTTCAGACTGGTATTTCCAGGAATTGCATATCTGTCTGGGTGTGCTTCTCATTTCAGGTTGGTGGACAAGCTGTACCCCTAGATTTCCTTTGCATATCTGCACCAAAGTAGCTATATTCTCTGTCTATGCATTTATACATAGGTTGATTAACAAAAATAGTAGTATGACTTTGCTACCAAGTGGCCACATTCACTTATGGATGACTGAGCCATTGCTCTACATAGCCTGTCTTTCTGCATCAGTGGGACATATCTATTGTTCTTGTTACACTACTTTCAATGACAGACATGGATTATTTGCTCAGATCCTGAATTATGTTCCATAAACAGAATGATGATTCCTGTCAGGCTTGCTGGGGTGCCATAAATTTTCTTAGGGTTAGGACGGTGTACCCCCTTCGGCGGAGCCGTTGGGGGTACACAGTATGAGTAAAGAAATACTCACCTCAAAAGTGTTGAGGATTGCGGTATTGCTTGTTAAAGCGAATCAAGGTCCAACAGAGGGATGGGGTCTCCATCTCTCACCCTGTTTCGCTTATATAGCTCTTCAGGGACCTGATTCATAAGCAAATGACGCAAATGAGAGGTTTTGGCGGACCAATCATTTTCGCTTTATCAGCAATCACGCAATCCGCAGCACAAATGAGGTGATACGGTTAGTAAT